CACTTTCTATCGGAATTACAAATGCTATAAAAGTCCTTAAATTTGAAATGTAAATAGTAACTGGAAAAAAAGGCACTACTTTTCAAGATGTTCAAAAACTATTAGATTTTAGTATTATAGTAAATATCAAACTTCCTTCCTTCCTTCCTCACTGGCTCGACAGCCCAGGATGGGCCTTGGCCTTCTCCAGTAGTTTTTTCCAAGCTGTCCTTCTTTTGGCAATGGACTTCCAATTCTTTATTTTTAATATAGATAAATCTTTCTCCAGGGTATCTAGCCATCTGAGATTTGGCCTGCCCCTTCTACGTGTTCCTGTCGGCCGGGTATCAAAAATCTTTTTCACAATACGGTCTTCTTCCATTCTTACTAAGTGGCCTGCCCATTTTATCTTTTGGACTTTAATGAATCTTATGATGTCTGGTTCATTATATGATCGATAGAGTTCTAAATTTGATCTTCTTAATCACTGACCGTTTTTATTAATTCCTCCAAAAATGCACCGCAATATCTTTCTCTCAAATATGCTCAGCATTTCTTCATCTGCACGAGTCAATGTCCATGTTTCACAAGCATATGTTAAAACTGACCTAATGAGGCCTTTAAATAATAACAGCTTTGTTTTTCTCTTGATTACATTTGATCTTAAAAACTTTCTTAATCCATAAAGGCACCTATTTGCTGCTGTGATTCTCTTTCGTATTTCTGCAGTTACATCGTTCCTGTTATTTATTTCAGAGCCTAAATACGTGAAGCTGTCCACTACCTCGAATGAATGTCCCCCAATTTTTAGATGGGTACTCCTGTGGGCTGTTTTAGTACAAGGCATATATTTAGTTTTATTTTCATTTATTTTTAGACCCATCTTCAGGGCCTCTTTCTCTAAAGAAATAAAGGCCTCTTCAAGTGCTCTTGGTGTTCGAGCAATAATTCCTATATCGTCAGCAAAAGCCAACAATTGTATTGACTTATTAAATATAGTTCCTCTGTTATTGATTTTTGAATCTCTTATTACCTTTTCTAATGCTAGATTAAAGAGGAGACAGGCTAAAGAATCTCCCTGTCGCACACCATTTTTTATTTCTAATGGCTCTGATAAACAATTCTGTATTTTTACCATGATTTTAGTTTCACTTAGTGTTAGGTTAATCAATCTCACCAATTTTTCTGGTATTTTAAATTCTCTCATTGCCATGATCAGAGCTTTTCTGTTAATACTATCATAGGCGGTTTTAAAGTCAATGAACAGGTTGTGCAAATCAATTCCAAATTCTCTCGTTTTCTCCAATATCTGCCGAATGGTAAAAATTTGCTCAGTAGTTGATCTTCCCCTTCTAAAACCACTTTGATACTCTCCTATTATTCCCTCTGAAAACATAGTAAGTCTATTGAATAAAATATTTGAGANACGAATTTTAAATATTCGATAATTTATTACGGAACATGGAAGGTTAAATTTTTTTTCAGGGGAATTCACGACACAACAATTATCAATTTATATTTTGGGAAAACAATAAATCTTTCGAAACGCAAGAATTGAATGTTATCATCTCAATGCTGACGAGAGATAAGATTTGGTTCGCTCGTTTTCGTGAATCGGTTAATCATCGAATAAGTGAATCTTTCTTAAAAAAAAGTTCAAAAAATTATAATTTACGATATGATAGTCGACAAAAAGTTTGTTTCACTTTCTTTTTTTATATTTATTTTCCAAATTTTTTTATTTAAAAAAAATACGGCAAATTTTACGTAAATTGTTGTTGTTGTTGTTAATTTACGTCGCACTAGAGCTGCACAATGGGCTATTGGCGACGGTCTGGGAAACATCCCGGAGGATGATCCGAAGACATGCCATCAGATTTTTGATCCTCTGCGGAGGGGAAATTTAATTTTACGTAAAACCAAACCATATTTTTCAACAAATTGCAACTTGGTTAATTCCTTGCATGAAAAACATTTTAGCGGCAAACATATAATGCTTTGGTAAGAAATGAATTTCATAATGTAGTGACAGCTAATTTTCATTTTCAGTCATATTTTTATAACTTTCATTTCTTAAAAAATACGGCAAATATATTATCTTCATGAAACCATATTTTAAAGTAATCGCAACTAGGTCAATTTTCGTATAATAAAAATTTTAACTGCGAACATATGATGCAATTTTAACAATCAATTTTATAGTATACTATTAACAATCAATTTTTTAATACATTGTTAACAATCAATTTGATTATACACTGTAAATTCTATATGTTTATTAAACTGTATGGTCAATAAATGTTAACAAAAGCATTTAGGTATGCACGTTTCATTCAGCAATAAAACGCTTTTATTGAAAACTCTTCTTTTATCCAAAAAAAAAAAGTTCCTAATCTATAAAACAGACCATCAGACTAGTTCTAATTTAAGGTTAAAACAACTAGCTTCTAACTATAAATAGATAACAAAAATAGCAGTTTTTGAAGAAAAAAAGTTCTTGAGAGGNTTTTTTTTTTTTTTTTTTTTTTTTTTTTTTTTTTTTTTTTTTTGCTAATTTAGATAAAATGACCTCTGGCGAAGACATTTAGCTCAGAAATTTATAAATTTTTTAAAGAGTCCCATATTATCAAGAATATCAAAATCAAATAAAAAAATTAACTTTGCTTCTGATATTATCAGAAAGAATGGATTAAAAGAAACCTAAACGGACTAATCGAAAAAGAAGAAGGGCAAAACCACTATGACTCGATTCTAGTCTCGATTTAGATTTTAAAGCTATTGGAAGAAAAGATTGACAGTCCGGGTCAAACAGTAGGCTGTCTTGGGGAAATATATTTCAAATCTTGGTGAATATAGTCCATGCCCCACCCTGGGAAGTCATGTCAAATATGATAGAAATGTGTGCTATGTTATAGCGTCATCGATATTTTAATAAAAAAATTTTTTTAATTTTAAACATAAAATAGACTTGATATCTCAATGAAAGGCCTTCTAAATAAATAAATTTCTAGCAATGATATAAATTTATAAAAAAAGAATTACTCACTTTTATAAAAAGTTGTTTTGGTTTTAATCGGCAATCATTTTCATTAAAATTTCGTTAGCCAATTCCATGTTCTTTTTCATCCACTCTGACCAAACAGTGGACGAAATGATTTCTTTTTTATTTGCTCTTATAAAATCGAATGCAGACAGTTTTAGTTCTGGATGATTTACCCTTTCAGCAACAGAAATTACATGGCAAATATTTTCCAAGCTCAATTTTGTAGTCAGTATTTGTGAACATCGTTCTTTCAGTTCGTCAACTTGATATTTATCTGCCACTAACATCAGTTTCAAAATTTCCTCGCAATCGGTATCGGTTATCGTGTCTGTATACAGAAACTCCAAAAATGATTGCAGAATATCACTCTCCACATCTAGAATATCAACTACGCCAGTCTGAGTTTCCAACATATCTTGATCGAACATGGTGGCGAACACGGGAGATCGGGCTGACAGCAAGCATTTGTGAGCAGCTATGATTTTGTCATGTGTCTTCAATTTTACGTCGCTATGCATGTCGTTCAATAGCATTTTCTTGAGATCTCTTTGCAGAGTTAATGGAGAAGCCTTTATACTTGGAAAAGAATCATCCTGCTTCCAATTCTCTGCACTTGAATCTGAATTTCCATCAGAAGTTGTCATGGAACATACCAGAGTGAACGAATACGGTAAGTGAAAGCATGACTTGTCCATGAGTTGACTTTTTTCAATCCAGGTCTCAAATTTCTGGTTTTCGACGACTTTTTTTGGAAATTCACAATCTATTTTATGATTTTCATTATTCAATATTGCGATTTTCAGATTATAAGGTTGAAACGAATCCACTTTTTCAATTTTTATGTTGATTCTTTCATCGGAAGCATGCATAATAATATCTATATGACTGCATTCATGAAATGGAACTTTTATTTTCTTCGTCCAGTTTTCAGGACCAGGAATATTAATTTTCCACTGTGTATAGATTGCAGTTGGAATTTCCACCGTCATTGCTTGTTTTTTGTAGCTTGCGTCTGTTATGTGGCAGCGGACAGTTAGCATCGTAGAAGGTAATCCCAAAAATTTCGAATACTTTTTCAAGGAATTATTATCTAGAAAACTGTCAACTTCACTGCTAGATCCTTGTGAAAAAGTGATATTTTCCTTTCTGATAGATTTGAAAATAAACCCATCTTTATCAATCAGTTCTAATTTATATGTTACAGAAATGTTTTCAGATTTGCCGTCGTCATATAGCCTGCGCAGAGAACACGAAAAACAGCCTGGAAGTGATGATTCACGGCGGTATACTCTTAAATACCATTTAGTTCCCTTCAATGTTTCAGCCTCAACTATGGGACTCGTTTTCTGGTATTCACTTTTTAGTTCAAATAAATTGTAGACGTTGTTAACTTTCCAAGTAAACGTAAACATTCCTTCAGTTTTGTTCGACATGATTCAAACCTAATCATGCGAAAATTCACTTTTTTGTCTGTGATAAATACTTTTTATTCCATGCATATAAATCTAAACGAAAATTGGTCTTACCTCAATTTTGCCGTTCGTGAACTGATTATTTTTTCTAATCTGTTGACGTAGTTACTCATATCATGTAATGCATGCACGTGATAAAATATCCACATTCTCAGATTTGCTTTTTACACTTTTTTTAACTGATATCTGGTATCTGCTACTCCCGATGAAAAAGTTTCATTTTAAGATCCTTCATAATGATGTCACACTTAAAGGGGAGAGATGGGTTTTTTAAAATTATCACATTTTGTGACAGGGTCACCGCAACCGCATATTTTTGGGAGGGGAAAATAATCATTTTGCCAAATAAAACTTCTAATTTAACCTAACCCTGTATTTGCCTGCTTTTCATTTGCTTCTATAAAAAGTTATTTTGTTGCTATCATTTTGACTTACTATATTCTACTAATTAATTACAGGCCTAACAATCTCATACATAATTATTCCAGTAAATAAGCAGTAATTGGTCAATAAATTAGGCATTTAAATGTTATGAAAACTGGAGTTCGATCCTTAGGCCCATCAGATTGATAGGTATCAGCTTGTCCAGGGAGTAAAGGCGGCATGAGCGCAATGCTAACCTTATCCCCACGATCAGCCTGTTGGTCACAAAATTGAGGATTCTTCATTCTATAAGCCCCTTGACTACACTGAGCTATAGCTTTCCTATTTATCTAATCAATAAATAATGAACCATTTGATAAGTAAACATAAAAAAGACAAATAACTTAATTCACAGCTAAGATAAAGACAAAATTTTTCATTATCTCGCGAATTAAATGATTGGCAATAGGTAAATCTCGTCAAATACCGAATAGATAGATAGTCACATGAGCAAGGGAAGAGAAGAAAGATACTACTTTATATAAATATTGACATTGAGCCTACTATCAGGTATGTAATTATTTTATCTTTCCAGTTATCTTATAATTTAAATTTGGTTTTTAATAAAAGATTAAAATATACAGATTAACCTTTCGGGTTATACAAAAAAATAATCAAATGCATTGTAAAACATCAGGAACATATTACTCATTTACGGGAATGAGGGTAAGTAATTCTCACGCTAAATGTCGGTGAGATCTAGACAAGGCTCCAAATGCATGTTTATGAAAATGGACTCGGCTCAAAATGTGTTTTTACGAAAGTGGATAGAGCTTGAGATTTGACAATTGTCGTAAGCATGCATTTTGAGCTGTGCTCAGCTTTGTAAACGCGCATTTTGAGTTGGATTCAATTTCGCAACCTTGCATTTCGAGTTATGTCCATTTTCATAAACACGCATTTCGAGTTATGTCCATTTTCGTAACCATGCATTTCGAATTATGTCCATCTTCGAAAACACGCATTTCGAGTTATGTCCATTTCGTAACTATGCATTTCGAGGCATGTTCATTTTTGTAAACGTACATTTCGAGCTGAATTCTGATTTACTAACTCACAGTGACGTAATAGTTTTCGTTAAACTGAATGAAAGGATGCAAAAAATAATTCTTCAATTTTGGTCTAAAATAACACGAAGCATAATTACCGCATCAATAACATTTCTATATTTGAAATGCTCTTTAATCATTTCTCCAGTATTGCATAAAATAACAGAATGTATCATTTAATGTTTGTGTTATGACAGTATAAAGCAAGGCTGGTAATAATTTTCTGAGAAATTAGTGCCAGTGGCAATAACTTATATCTTAAATTTTGAATGATAATCAAAAGTATGATACTTCCCTTAAGTTAAACATTGTTTACAGAGTCTATCTATCATGGAAATTTTGTATGTATTTAGAAATTAAGATAAGTTTCTCCAATATATAATTTAATTCCAACTTTTTTTCCATAACTTCATGCTGTATTCGTCTATAAAACTAACCAAACTATATCCCCCTATTCTTTGTTTCACCTTTTGAATTTTCATAAAAGAAGTGCGAAGAGGTGCTTGAAGAGTAGCCGATTGGTATGTCTCAATTTCTGATGAAACTGGCACATTTTTATGGGGAAATCGGAGCTCCATGCGATTGACATATGGGCTTTTCGACGGCAAGGAGGGAATTAGCTTTGTAGAAGAAAGTGTAAGAAGTGAAAAATGAATACCTAGAACAATACTTAAGCGTTCTCTTTTTTTCAGAAAAAAAGCAAATTAAGTTTGAATTTTATTTGAGTTTTCGCAATAAAATGAGAAAAAAATAAATTTTCGTAAATATGCCGAATGGCCTAGCATATTTTGCTTAATTATTCTGCTCTAAAGCTGCACAATGAGTTTTATTTTATTTTATAACCGTTGTTGGACGGTAGTTCCAGTTTTGAGTTTAGGTCTACAATCGTCAACTCCGCAGCCTTGGGATTTTGAGGCCAATCCAGATGACAAGAGAACTCTTGGATCAAGCAAAGGGAGAAACTAGAATTCGTGGTGGACTTTTAGATGGAACTAACCCTTATAGACAGGGACAGTGATGACGTATTTCATGACGTCAAACGACGCGTCCTTCCAATCTCCGTTCCAAACATTCTGTTGAACGATCCATTTAAATGGCATTTCCTATGTTAATTTAAGACGGCAAGATTTTTAGTTGTTTATTGACATAAATAAAATTATTTAGCGCTTTTAAGAGACTTATTCCTAATTTATGTAGTTTTCTTTATACGGGGTATCAGTAGGTTTTACGAGTTAAGTGCATTAAATGCTATAAAAAAAGTTTCAAAATGGTCAAGTTATCTTTAATTTTGATGTATAAAAATTTAAGCGTCAATATTTTTAACTCTTGTTTCATGTTTATAATAATGTCTTATTTTATTTAGAATTTGTTACATATTCTTTATCTACATCTAATTTTTTTCTTTAGTTATGGATAGGCATGCATTGTTTTNAACCAGGATAAACCTCCCACTGTTAGCTTGAAAGCAAGGCGAGATCCGGTGTTAAACGGATCCCTGATTCATTTTTCACCAAGTATATTTTACATTAGCAATGTGGTCGATGTGAGCTGGAAGCTGAATTTGTATCAACCAACCATCGCTAGGATTCGAAACCGGGTCATCTTATTGAGAGGCGAGAGTTCTGATCCCTTAACCACGGCTCGCTCAATGGACCATTGGTGATGATTGGGAAAACATCCATGAAGATGATGCGAAGACGTGCCATCACAATTTTGAGCTTCAGCTCCCCCGCTATAGTAGTCCAATGACCTGTACGTGAAGTCGAGCACGTTATTGTAGAATAGTTTAACGAAGCCCGATTCCGCACACCCTCGGTCCCTTTTTAAGTTGATCAAAATAATCACCCACCCGCAGATTGTGAGGCTTGACATCGTTGTTCTACTGGGAAGGAGAAGGGTAGAAACCAAGAAGTGTGACATGCACATTTCGATCTCTGCAGATTAAATATTTTTATCTAATCCTATTTTATACTTTTTTCTTCATTTATATTGGAATAAGTACACACCCATCCAATATTGTTGTTTTGCTTAGAAAGTAGATTAAAATACTCGTTTCCAATGTTAAAAAACAAAATTTAAAATTGATCTACATCACGAAATTTGCTGTTATATAAATTGCATTTTTTTTAAAAATTTTTTGTTAAAAAATACGTTTAGTTTGATTCTGTCTATTTCCAATAAATTATTAATATCTATTTCTTTTAAGTCCCTCACTAAATTACTGAAATAATTGAAGAGTATTTTCACTTCCTATAGGAACTGTATTTGTGTTGAAACGCGTAAATTGCAGGAATTTTTGTGAATTTTAACAAAAATAACACTAGTAATAGAGTTTGAGATGGCGCAAAAAGTGACCAGTTTGATAACTTCACTTAGAAAACGGTTGTTACTTTTATTTATAGTGTCTTTCTCTATGTACTTACATTTGAGAAATTAAGACTACCAAAAAACATGAACATATAAGTGTATGAATGCCCGGACAAGGCTAAACTAAATCAGTAGCTTAATCATCACGCCACAGAACTGTTCCAGAATCCTTATATGGAAGCGTAGAGATGGGTTCAAATCCCATTACAAACTTAAAGTATTGAATTATTTGTGTCCCGCAGTGGACTGATCGTTAAGACACGGTTCCCAGCAGATCACCGAAGTCAAGCATCACTGGCTACGGTCAGTGTGCGGGTGGGTGACCACTTGGATTAGTCTGCGTAGGGACCGAGGGTGTGCGGTATTGGTCCTTGTTAAACTGTGCTGCCGTAAAGTGCTCGACTTCGCGTGCAGGTCGTTGGGCTACCGAAGCGGGGGTGCCATCCCCTCTGCAAAGGATCGAAATTGTGATGGCATGTCTTCGGATCATTCTCCGGGATGTTTCCCAGACCGTCGCCAATAGCCCATTGTGCAGCTCTAGTTTGACGTAAATAAACAACAACAACAATCAATTATTTGTGTTTATTTATTGTTATACAAACGTGCTGACTTCTAAGCTCACTAAACGGTTTGGTGACCACTTTAATAATACTTCGAAATACCAGAGTGTGTGGTATCGATGCTCGATATACTGTTTTAAAATAAAGAGCTGGAACATAGTAAGTGTATAGTGCTATAGTAGTATAAGTGTTCGCAATCTAACACAAAGTGAAACCCTGGATGCAGCTATTTATGTATATTTATTAATTGTTACCAGGATTGCATACTCATTACAAGGCTCGGCTTATGCTCTTGTCAAGTCAAAATAAACCTAGATTGAGAAGGACATCACAAACGACATTTAGTGGGACATGAACCTTCTATCTCCACGTTACGTTAGATGCATGTTTGTAATGTCTTTCTCTAATTTGAGCAATCTATTTCTTAACTAGATTAGGGTTTATAATGTATGTGAAACAATACACAAATGCAAATAAATACTTCGAATACTAATATTTATATTTATTTTATTTATCTATTCTTTTATTTAATTCATCTGTTTTTTCATTCTATATACCTATTACCTAATTTTATTTATCTATTTTTTTATTTTTATTCTTTTAGAGCAGAGTTCTTCCACCAAAAGTTGTTTGAAATTGAGGAAGTGGGTTAGAATCGAAGCTTAACCATGGATGTGTTAGTAAATATAATTTTTTTTTAGATACATGTACAGACTTGTGTGTTTAATGCGAAGAATGGCTTATCTTTTGCCTTAAAATAGAACAGATAATAAAAAAATGAAGGAAAAAAAAAAACAGCACAACGATATTGAACCCACTATCTCAGCTCTTCAGAGCATTTGGCAGAAAGACAACACCCCACAAAGAAGAATAACATGTTTTTATTTTAACTTGCACCTTGCCCTTCAATATTGTTCTTCCGCTAACTGCTATGAAGTGTCGAACAGGCTTCAAATTCTGCTGTAACCTATCTCTTCTTGCTGTCATTCATTAATATTTCTATTTGTTTGTCAAACTGAGAAGAGAGTTATTAAGCCATGTCTTTGTAAATACAAATTTACAAGGACACCCATATAGCCTTTAAATTTCCGAATAAAAATTTATTATTCCGCAGAAATCGCTGACTTATAGGTCTTACCAATGGGTCTTACCAATGAACTCCTCTGGAATAATTGAATCTCCTCAATACACGTCAAAAATACAGGCATTTTGTCCAAATATGTTATTTACATTTATTATGTTAAAAATAACATTTTATTTATAACTTAATGCACTTACTACGAAGCTATTGATAGATCTACCTATTTAGAGCAAAGTTTCCATCTTATCATTTGACAATTGGGCTAGACTCCACACATCCAGTATTTTTAAAAAAAGTGAAATATATAATACTTCTATTAGCAGGTTTACATAAAAACATATGAATAAAATATCTAGATTGACAATATTTGGTGTTAAGAATCATGTTTAATATATAAATGAATGTATACATGCAGATATAAAAAATCAAATCAATGGCACTAAAAAAAATTGAAAAATGTTTTCCCGGTAAAGAAAAGCGTCATTCTGTTTCTATCTTAAACTAAATAACTTTGTGATAATGATTAACATTTCTGTTTTGATCTAATCTAATAATAGTTTAGTCAAAATTTCAATAGCCAGTTTCATGTTTCTTTCCACCCATTCTGACCAATCACGCGACTGAATAATTGCCATTTTGTTCGTTTTGATATAGTTTAATGCAAGCTGTTTTAAGGCTACTTGATTCATTAAATCAGCGACAGAAATCACTTCATAAATGTTTTCCGTGGATATTTTTGATATCAATATTTTTGAACATCTTTCTTTCAAGCTATTCACTTGATATTTATCAGCCACTAACAACAGGTTCAAGACATGATCAAAATCAGTATTAGAGAATATGTCAGTGTACAGATATTCAACAAAAGAGCACAGAACTTCACTTTCTACATCAGGAATGTCCACAACGCCAGTTTGATTTTCCATCATATCTCGCTTAAACATGGCGGAGAAAACGGGAGATCGGGCTGACAATAAGCATTTGTGAACTGGAATAATTTCCTTTCCAGCATGCAAATTTAAATCAGCATGTTCTTTCTCCAAAAGCATCTTCTTTAAATCCTTCTGTAAAGGTAACTGAAGAATATCCAACGGACCAAGTCCGACACATGTATCATTTTCGTAGGAATAATTTATAATTGTCGACGTTGAAGTACCATCAGAAATATAAATTGTACACACCAATTTAAATGAACACGTGGAACATACATCACTCTTAATGCTCTAGCTGGTTTTTCTCAAATGAAGTTTCAAACTCAGATGAGTTGAATATATGAGTAGAATTTTTTAAATCTATTTCAATTCCTTCTTTTTTTAAAATGGATATTTTGGCTTCCATAACTCCGTTAATGGTTGCTCCTTTAATTTTTCAAAGTGTAAAAAAATTTTCCCATTAGACCTAGTCAAAGTTATGTTAATCGGGTGTCGTTCTTCGATTGGACATTTAACCTTTTTTTCCCAGTCTTGCATTACAGGAACTGTTATCGTCCTCTTGAATGAGTGTTTTTTCTTTCCTATTTCGGTTACAGCTTCACATGTAACAGATTGTTGTTTGTAGTTTTCATCAAATAACTGACAATAGACCTCTAAAGTGTCAGTCTTCCAGCTTTTCATATCATGTTCAAGTTATTCTACTTTCAAAAATTTAAACAAACCCATCCCAATTTCATCTAGGGACTTTCTTTCCATGGACGCCAATATTTTACCATTTGGATTGAGTATTTCTAAAGTACAGGATGTTGTAAAACCATTTTCATTTTCCTCGCACTCCTCATTTCTGTATAGGAAGCATGAAATAAAGCCAACTCTTCCTTTGTCAAACCATTTTGGGTACAGCGTTAAGAACCATTTGGTGTCTTGAAAATCTTCAGTACTAATCACAGCACTTTTAAAACTCTCCGCATTCTTCAATTGACGCAGCGAATAATTTACAATTTTCCACGAAAACGAAAATACTTTTCCAGACAAGGATGGCATCATGAAACGCTTCTAAAATATTTCTGTTTGTAATGAGAGCAGAATCATTAAAATATCATTCTTTGTTCGAGGGCTGTTAGAACGTTTAGAGTTCAATGCTTTCGAAAGGTTATTTTTCCTATTGCTGATGTCATTTCCACTGATTAGTCAAACGTGATAAAAAGTTTCATCATTTCACGAATTTCCTTCTTTCATCGAATGAATTTGATAATAGTTGATAGTGTTGGATTAATTTTGTAGAAATTGTTCAGTCCGAGTTAATAAATACTAAAGAAGCGCTTAAATTTTTTGGCTTCGGGTTTTCTGGATTCAAAATATTGACTAAAAATACTACATTTCCATTATTTAGATACAGAGGTGTTTCAAATTAAAACATCAGCACAAAATTCTCTTGATCGATTTCTGGACTTCGTTCAAATAATATTTTTTTAAATCGTTTTCATTTTTAAGATTCGATTTAAATATCAGATAACAGACACTATTATAAAAATGACAAAGATGTGTCATACTGAAATGTAGCAAACAGGCCATCCCACCATCCTTAGGGCGCTTTTTCATTACATGACACGATACCGACAAAATCGGACGACAAATGTGTGAACGACAAAGTCGTTGCCGGATCGTTCAAGCAATTGTTTTTTCACTTGTCCGATATCGTTCGTCCGAGGAGTAGAAATTCTTGTTCATTCAATGTTTTGAGCTTGAATGAGCAGTTGCTTGTGTTCTGTTGGGATTTTTTTCTGCAAACTTTAAAAATCGTCGTCTCAAACTTCTTACTTTATTTTAGAAGAAAAAAGCTAGCAGTACAGAAACGTTTTTGGGTGCACGAAATGGTACTTACGTATTAACGCTACCGCAGCTACAGATTTGGTGGCTTTTAAGTGCCGCCAATCTGCACCTAAAATTTTTGCTACGAATCATGAAATAAAATACTTTATTTAAAATCTAAAAATTCAAAGCACTTTATTTAAAATTAAAGTAGTCAATCGAATTTCGGTGGAAAATGGGCCGATATAGAGTTATGCATATATTCAAAACAGTCTCTTTTCTTTCATCAGATGCTGTCGCCATATCGTCGCTTTGAAACTAAACAGTGGTAACTCAAAAAAATCGAAAAATGAAATATTTAGGTCATTTTGTGTAAAAAAAATCACCCTTTTAGAGAAACAACGTGTTATCTTCATAGTTCCATAAAATTAATTTAGAGAGTAGATAAATCGTAATCGCATTGGCGCGATTCGCCATCTTAGTTTTAGGGAATAGTGCAGAAGTGTGACAATTGCAACAAAACCTTGGAGGAGATAACGTCGCTTTGAAACTAAACCGTGGTAACTTAAAAAAGCAAGTTTTTCTGGAGAGCGATCCCTACACTGTTGTATGTCAAAATTTGAAGTGAAATATGTAATATTCGGGAGGATATTTTGAAGAATATCGTTGTATTTTTTTAAAAAACTCTCCACATTTAATAAAAGTTTTAGAGAAAAGTGTTGCAACTCAAAGTACCTTAACTTATTTCGAAATTACCACAAAATTAGAAATGCTACAAGAATCTGCCCTGTTTCGTTGAAAAATGTAAAGAAACAGGGTTTTCTTTAAAGTAAACTATTTTGTAATAGTCGCCATAGCTTTGAGTCAACCTGCGGAGGAAGTTCCTGAAAAGTTAGAAATCGCACTCCTGAAAAACTTACTTTTTTGAATTACCATGGTTTAGTTTCAAAGTGACGATATGAACTCTGATAAATAAGATTCCAAATGATGTCTCGCTGTCCCCCTATGTATTTTGTTCCACCATTTAGCACAGCCCCTTATTTTCTCAACTGTTTGTGTATTATGAACTCCTGTATCAGGATTAATAAAATGTATACAAATACCTACTTGCTAAGGTATTTGTATTTATGATAAACCTTAGCAAGTAGGAATCCTTCTATTCTCCTTGTTTGATAACCTTTCCAACTGTCGGAATAAATTGTGCTACCATCTAAGCCCCATTTGCTGATCAGACTGTCTTAAATTTCATTTCCAAAACATACGTTTACCAAAATAAAGTTTCATGTCATGGGTATTGGTACATTTTCGTTCTTTTTGGGTAAAATATTTCTTAACTGAAAAAATAAAATTACATCTGGTTCTGTTTTTGGAAAATCCCAAAGATGCATTTTCGTAGCACTAAAAAATGGCGTCAGAAATCATCAAACAAGGCAAAAAGGAGTCCGAAAGATAACAGCATGCGAAAACGGGGTTGCTGTGTGCGAATAACAGGATTGCTCTTTATTGGCGCATTAGCACAACTTCTGAAACATTTATTTCGTGGGTGCTGAAGTACCCACAAAATAAATGAGGCAAGATATGTTGAATGAGATTTTTATGTGCTTCTCCATAAGCTACAAAAAGTCCCAAATAAATTTTTTAATTACGTCCGAATAAGAGAAACCAAGAACAAGAGTGATGTTAATGAGGAATAATTTTTACATCGCTTTTGAGTTGGCGTCTGCTCGCTAATTTATGTCTATAATCACTTAACATTACTTAAATTCTTTAAATGTTTTAAAGTATTAAAGTTTTTTTTAATCGAATTAAAATATTAGTTCAATTTAGAATAATCTTTTTAGAGGATTTTTTAAATGAGTTTTATCAATTTTATCTTATGAAGCCGCTCTATCATGTTTCAAAAAAATGTTTCAGTTGAATCAGGGAACAGACTTTTTATTATTCAATCAAGCAAAAACCAGTGGTTAGATAGAGTTCTGTTTGAAATACACAAGGGTCTTTATTTGCCATCTTGTCAAACCATTACTATTATAAAAATACTATTTCTTCATTAAAGCATATAATGAATTTATAAAAATTTTCAATAAAACTTTTGTGATCGTTTAAGTCTTTCAACCTCATTATAATGTAAAAAATGCTACATCATAAAATTAAAAATTTATAACCAGACATGAGAATACATTATATAAAACTTTTATTTTCAAATTTTACATTTGACATGATCTAATAAAAGATTAAAATTGATTAAAAGAATAAAATAATGATATCAAAAGAGGAGATAAAACAGGAAAGATACACAACAACTAATAAAATCGCCACGATTTGAGGAGAAATTTGCTTGCCTAACCGACATTTGATTCCGACAAACGATATCGCCTTGTCGGATACGACATAATCGTTATCGTATCGGTGAGTGAAAAAGCGCTCCGTTGCTGACCATGTATTTTACTTGACCCTATGTCGTTCGCCGACAATCGGATCCGTTTTGTCGTTATCGTGTCGTGTAATGAAAAAGCGCCCTTAGACGGAAGCATGGAGGTAGCGGGTTAGAATCCCGTTGCAAGCCTGTATGCATCAATTTAGATTTACTCATTTCTTGTTGCATACACATCAATCTTGTGGCCTCAAATTTTGGCTTATAAGTACTTGACAAATTGAAAATCCTGGTAGCACAAGATAGAGAAGAATACCGCAAAGATACATTCAAGTTTATGGTGGGGTTTGAACCCGTTACTTTTACTCTCCAATGATTGCATCTTTGTATCGTCCTTCTCTAACTTGTGTTATCAGTTCTTCTACTTAACAAATCATGTGTTGTAATGACCATGCAATCACATATGTATTATAAGGAATAAATAAATACTTGAAATAGTAATGCTTCCACTTCTTATAGAGCTTTATAGAATGAAGGTAGAATTTTCAAATACCACCGTAAACCTGGATGCATCGTTTTCATATCCTTTACTAACTCATGAAATCTGTTTAACAATTTTACTAGGGCTTATATAACGTACTTTATGATGAACATATAAATCTGCATGCTGCACAAATCTGAGTTACATTAAAAAAGTAAAATTCTTTTAGATACTTCATTTACACCACACTAGAGCTGCACAATGGACTATTGGCGACGGTCTGGGAACGATTCTAGAGGATAATCTGAAGACATACCATCACAATTTCAATCCTCTGAAGAGGGGGTGGCTCCCCTGCTATTGTAGCCATCCAAAATGCACGCGAAGTCGAACACTTTACTGCAGAACAGCTTAACGAGGACTGATACCGCGCACCCTCGGTCCCTACGCAGGCTGATCAAAGTGGTCACCCACCAGCTCATTGACAGCAGCCAGTGATGGTACATTTCGGTGTTCTACTGGAAGCCGTGTCTTTACGATCTGTCCACTGCGGGACCAAAAATTATTTAACGTACATTTGCACGCGTTAGTGTGTACAATACAAAGAATTGCTGTTTAGGTTGCAGAAAGAGGTAAATCGAAAAAACACCAAGCAGAACATAAAAATTACATTAAATTAGCTCAATAAAAATATAACTTCGTTGCTTAATATTTTGAAATAGACATAAGAAGAAAAATCAAAATTTTTTTCTGTTGTAAAAGTACAAATTACACAAAAAGTATATTTTTATCGGACATTTTGAAAAATACATAAGTAAAAATTTCAATATTACAGAAATAGTGCCAATTTTACAATCTGTGCCAAGCCAGCTTTTTCGTATAATTTCAGGAATCTTTCTCTGAAAAAGACAAGATTTCTTAAATGAATTAACTCTTTTATAATTTTAAGATTAGAAATGGGTAAGTATCCATTTTTTGGCATCAGTTACAAAGTGACACTGGAACATTTAGGTACAAAAAAAACTTATTATAAAAACTTCTCACACTTTTAGTATCAGGTATAGAAAAATCACAAAGTAAAAACTTCATAGTTTTTTAGTAGTTGAGCTAAATATACTATGATACAAAATGAATTATTATAAAATGTTTTTTAAGATGTATTCGTTTCGAATACTACGTACTTTGAAATAAGGAGTACAAACCCATCTCTAATTGACATATCGTATACCCTAAGTTATTCGTAATAACTAAAAACATGGAATCACACTTGTTTACCGAGTGAAAAAGAGTTGAAAACAGTGGCGTTATTTTGAAATTCATGTTTGGTTTTCTTCACTTTTGAATGAATTTTAACGTTTAAAAGAATTTAATTTCATACAAATATATTAAGTTGACTATTAAACTGATTGATAAGTTGATTTAAGTTTAGACCATTAAGTTGAATTAATTAAAATAATTAAAAATTATAATTATTTGAATGAATTTAATTTCATGCGAATATATATTACTGAGTTGGCTAATAAAAAGAACGGAGTCTAAAAAACTGATGTTAACGCTAAATTAAAACACTTGCCGGCAACATGTCTAAATAATTGGGTATATTTAGTCTCAAAAATGTTGTCGACTCTACCATATGAATTTCAATATTTTCTTCTATAATGAGCTACTTTTTAAATTACTTTACCAATAAAAATTACTCTCAACTAAGCTTTGAATATAATTATTATTGAAGTTATTTGCTATTTTCTAGTATTATTAAGATAAATTTTCTCTCAATGTGGTAAGTCATAAAGTGCTATACAATGATCCATTTTACTACTTTTCCTTCTTTGGTACCTTTCCATCGCAGGTATTAGTTCCTTATTAACTAATATTAAAATAATTTATAATATATAAATTAATAAAAAATGAATAATTATAAATTTTCGAAAGTCAGTTCATAGTGTTCTTGTCTCGTATTAAATTTTTGAAAATTTTGTGTCTAGTCAAAAATAGGACATATTTGTAAATCTTGCAGCGGGGAGCACCTAAGTCTGTGTAAGTCACTGTTTGAAAAAGCGATTACCTCAAGATTGATCAGCAAGCAAATTTTTTGTAAAAACACGAAATCTCATATTATTATAGGGGGAAACAGAGGGGAGTTGGAAAGGTGATTATTAGAAACACTTCAAGATTCATTAGGCACACAGATTTTTCGTAAAAAAAAATGAAAAAAATCTCATATGTTTAGTGGGGGAAACAGAGAGGAGTTGAAAAGGTAATTTCGTGTTTTTTACAAACAGTTTGTTTGCTTGAGGAATCTTGAGGTGTATCTAATAATCACCTTTTTAACTCCTCTCTGTTTCCTCCAATAACCATAAGAGATTTCATGCTTTTACAAACAGTTTGTAGGCTGGAACAGCTGGCCGGTAGGGCGCTGGACCCATGTCCGATAGTTGATGGGTTCGAATCCCGCAGGCCGAAGTAATTCCCGTGTAATTGGTGACTGATGCACGTAAAAATTCTGTGGAGTCGCAAAGTCCTTCATGTTCCCATAACAAATCAATATCTCTGGGGGGTACTGGATCGATTGTTCTCTGATTTAGATTGACATTACGATCTGTGGATGAATGAATGGATGTATGAATGGATCCACCTTATGCACAGGTGTGACGTATGGTATGGCAGAAATGAAATTCTTGGCCATAGATGGCGCCACTGAAATACAAGAAACGCACTCTCTGCCTTAAATTTTCTCGGTTTCACCAAGCAGGCTTGCCCCTGTGGCAAGTAGCACTAGAAACAACATCAACAAACAGTTCGTGATTATGATCCTATTTTCGTCATCTACTTCAATCTACGTCACTCACAAAACAATATTTTTAATTAATATTGTTCACTCTTCTCTTTTTTTGTCCAAAATTAATTTTGACCCCTTATACGCCGATATTCTTGGTTTCATTTTTGGCATACATTGTAAAAATATATAAAACGTATAACATTTATAATAGCACTAAAAACACATAAAAATATACAAAAATATACAGTAGGCGTGCACTAAGGACACCCTGTATAATTTAATAAGAATTGAAATTGCATTTGTGCAGTAAAATATAAAAAAATATAAAGTAGTATTTTAAAAAAAATATTTTAGTACAGGGTGATTTTGACTTCCTTGTTCAAGTCAAAGAGAAATAAAGCATTATTTAGCAATCAAAGCACTATTATTTCTTAATTACCTTTGCTGTCAGAGCCATGTGTAGAAGTGATAAAAATGTGTTTTCCTGCTTTTTTCACCATTTCTACTTCTTGGCGTTACTTTGCCTGTTTAAAGTATTGTTCTGAATTCTAATTTTCTACTGTGTAGATCACGTTAAGTTAAGAAAAGAAGGCCTGCAGATCAATAATTTCAACAAAAAAAAATAAAAATTAACATTTTTTAAAATAAAAATTAATTTTTTTAACTGAAATTGAATGGTTTAAGAGATTTTCGTGTGCCATTATGATAAATTCTCTTGTTCTGTTGTTACTATCCAGTAAAGAGAAGATCGCACTTTTCTTAACACCTCGTATAGAAATAAAAAACTGAAATCGAATAGTCTTCGAATAGAAATAAAAATTGCACTTTGTTTACATAAAAAAGAATAAACAAATTCAGTTTCAGTTTTTTTTAAAAGAAACGTTTGTTTCCACGTTGTTGTTTAGTTTAATCAATCATCATTTTCGATAAAATTTCATTTGCCAATTTCGTATTCTTTTCCATCCATTCTGACCAAACAAGTTAAGACATTATTTCTTTTTTGTTTGCTTTCACAAAACACACATTAAATGGGGATTTTCTTTTAAAAACCCATGGAATCGTATGTAACACTCCTTCAGTCCCACGAAACACAATTGGAGATTTTCTTTTAAAAAGCTATTATTATAGAAATTAAAACTGAACCGATATTTTTTGATTTCTTCTAAAGTCCTTAATCGTAGTAACTGACTACTGTTAGCACACCAGGTAAACAGAAAAGCTCTTTCTGTCATTCGTAACATAAAGTGTATGAGAATCTTTTTTCAACAGTTTTGCAATCAAAATTGATGAAATTAACAACTGAATCGATAACTTTCGATTTTTCCTAAAAGCCTTAATTGAAGTAACTGACTATTGTTAACACATTTCGTTAACGAAACCATTCCTTCAGCGACATATAACATAAAATAAATACTTTGAATCATTTAATATAAATAAATAAACTTTCAAAAACTCCTCATGTTCAAAATCTGGAATTTATTACTATTTATCAAGTGAACAAAAGTATTTATGGTTTTTGTGCTGTAATTCTCTATTATTAACGTTTTTTTATCCTCATGTGAAATCTCATATTAAGAATTACAAGATTTTGTGGTTTCTTTTTAAATCTTTTTTTCCACTGATTTTCATTGAATAAAGCTTCATTGCAGAAAAGCTGTAGATTAATGTTTTTGAACTATGATAAAACGCTTAGTTTAGTAGTTTAAATTTTTTTTTAGCTAAGAAAACTTTTTCTTTGGCAGAAGGAAAGACTAGTAGTATTTGGCGCATGCATGAATCAAATTGAGTAAATTAAGCTGAATTACGGTCTGAAAACTGTTATAAACTGGGTGAATGCTAATCAAGGAAAAAAACTTTCTTTTGACTTTTGGATTTTTGACTTTCGATTTTTTTTTTAAAATTTTAATATTGGGTGAGAAATACTGATGTTATCATTTGCAAATACATATTTTTTCAGCAATTTATTCTGTATATTGTTAATGGAAAAATATGTATGTCTATTCTAAAATTTGTCATTTCTTTTTTATTGACATTTTACTTAATTTCAATAAACTAACCCAAATATTTTTTTAAATAAATAAACGCTTATTGGTCAGATATAAACTTATTACAGGTATCAAAGCAAATTTTAAAAGTTTAAAAAGAAAATGGAAAAAAAACTAACAAACTGATTTTTCCGCGGAATATCTTTAGAGAATCCCTGGGTTATTTCATCCATACTAGAAAATACAAGTTTAACGTTGAGCCATAATATATAGAACTACAATACGATGTTATTACCTTAAAAGATTAAGCTCGGCCCTCAAGTTCCCTCTTAAGGTTTTAATTAGCTTCATCTTCTAAAGAAGATACTAACATTTTTCAGCACAGTCTGTTTACGTCTTCAGACAATATTTGGATCAGGTCCGGTTGTAACGCTTTCGGTCTAGTTTACTATAGAGAAATAATTAATCGTGACGCGTTTGAATTATGTGACCAGACACAGTCCGTTTGTAAAGCCATATTCATTAATAAGGTGCTCAGTTGAGCTCGATTTCAATTCAGGTTTATCTACACTATAAAAAGGAAAAACCTAAATATGAAAATGTGGTTTTACGAAGCACCATATTTGGTTGCAGAAAATTTAAATGGGGTCATGGTTTAACACTGTAATATCATTCAATTTAAAAGAGCATAACTTTCAAACATGCATGAGTTAAAAATTGATTGTTTATCTGTTTCTGGTGTGTTCAATTATTCAAATTATCAGTGAATGAAGATTGATTCACTGATATTTTGAAGCATGAGCAAGGCCAATTTTAACATTAGAGCATTTTATTACGAACATTTCGAGTGGTGTGAAAACGAATTTTTATTAGAGCTAACACTTAATATACCATTTCAATGAAATATGGTTCTCAGATATTTTGAAGCATGGAGGTGGGGTCACTTTCAACATTAGAGCATTCTACTCCGAAAATTTGCGTTGTATCTGTGAACAAATAATTTCACTCTTAGGGTTTGCAATCAAAGGTCATTTCGATGAAAATTGGTTTACTGATATTAAAAAACACGAGAAAGATCAATCAATATTAGAATATTTCATTCTAAACGTTTGAGTGGTATTTGTGAAAGTGTGATTTTTTTAATGATGAAAAAAAATGTAACCTCCCCATTGCAGAATAACTTCAGGTATAAATCTTTGTATGCTAATAATTTTTGTGCAAACTTATGATTGAGAAAAAGCTTGATTGTTAGGAATAAGGAAATATTTTTAATATTTCTATTAATATATAAAAAGCGCCCTTATAAAACGTGCTTTGTCAAATCTAATACAGCGAAGTCAATAAGAAAAGCAATACATTAATAACATTACAGAAAATTATCTGAAAAGAAGATGCAGTGGTATTAATTTGTAGTAAAACAAGAAAAGCAGATTTGCAAAACCTAACACTAACCAAAACACCTTCTATAAACTGTTTTCTAAACGTTATAAAATTAATGAAATTGACAATTAAAAGAAAAAAGAAGTTACGTTTTGAGGGTAAGCTTATAAGCTATAATTACAATAATTTAATTATTAGATAGGTTATATAAATATTAACTTAAATTTCTGTACCATTAAAAAATGACTTACTTTAGTGAAATTTGCATTGCGTTTCGGTTCAAACATCAATCAACTTCGACAAAACTTCAACTGCCAATTTCAAGTTCTTTTCCACCCACTCTGACCAAGCAGGGGAGGAAACAATCTTCTTTTTGTTTTCTTTTATGAAATTAATTGCACACAATTTCAAATTCGGCTGATTGACCACATCAGAAACAGAAACCACTTCACAGACGTTCTCCAAAGACAGTTTGGACATCAGTATTAATGAGCATCGTTTTTTCAAGTAATCCACTTGATATTTATCAGCCACCATCATCAGTCTCAACAATTTCTCATAATCAGTGTTGGTGATCATATCAGTGTACAGAAACTCTAAAAATGATAGCAGAGTTTCACTTTCCACATCAGGAATATCAACAACGCCAGTCTGAGTTTCCAGCATATCTTTATCGAACATTGTGGAGAACACGGGAGATCGGGCTGACAGCAAGCATTTGTGAGCCGGTATGATTTTGTCATGTGTCTTCAATTTAACGTCGCTATGCTTATCGTTCAATAGCATTTCTTTGAGATCCTCTTGCAGAGGTAAAGGGGAAACCATTAAACATGGAAAAGAATTTTCCTGCGTCCAATTCTCAGCTCTTGAATCCAAATTTCCATCAGAAGTTATGATGGTACACACCAGAATGAACGAATACGGTAAGTGAAAACGTGATTTGTCCACAAGCTGACTTTTTTCAATCCAAGTGTCAAATTTTTGGTTTTCGACGGGTTTTTTTGGCAATTCACAATCTATTTTACGATTTCCATCACTCAATATTGATATATTAATTTCATAAGGTTGTAACGAATCCACTTTTTCAATTTTTATGTTGATTCTTTCATCGGAAGCGCACATAATAATATCTATTTGAGTAGATTCATGAAATGGAACTTTTACTTTCTTTGACCAGATTTCTGGACCAAAAATATTTATTTTCCACTGTGTATGGATTACAGTTGGAATTTCCATCGTCATTGCTTGTTTTTTGTAGCTTGCGTCAGTTATGTGGCAGCGGACAGTAACTGTCCGGATTGTCGAAAAACCATAATTTTCCCGATACATTTCCCAGGAATTACTATCAAGAAAACTGCTAACTTCACTGCTGGATACTTTTGAAAAAGTGATATTTTCCTTTACGACTGATTTTAAAATTGTCCCATCCATCATATCAATCAGTTCTAATTTATATGTTACTGATATATTTTCAGATTTGTCGTCGTCATTCTGCCTGCATAGAAAACACGAAAAACAACCTGGAGGTGATGAATGATATCGGTGCAGTGTTAAATACCATTTTGTGCCATTCAATTGTTTAGCCTCAATAATTTTACTTTTTTTCTGGTATTCACCCATTGTATTTAAAATTGGACCGAGATTGCCGATTGTCAAGTTGATTGTAAGCACTCCTGCAGTTTCGTGTGACATGATAAAAACCTTAATACTTTGAAAATTTACAGTGTTTGAAGCCTGAAATAAATACTTTTTATTCCCCAAATAAAAACATAAACGACAACTTATTTGGTTTTTAATAAAAGATTAAAACATACAGATTAACCTTTGGGGTTATACAAAAAACAATCAGATGCATATGAAAGATCAGGAACATATTACTCATTTACGGACATGAGAATACGTAATTCCCTTGCTAATTGTCGATGAGATCTGGAGAAGGCTCAAAATGCATGTTTATGAAAATGGACTCGGCTCAAAATGCGTTTTTACGAAAGTGGACACAGCTAGAGCTTCGTAAACATGCATTTTGAGCTGTGATCAGTTTTGTAAGCACGCATTTCGAGTTGGGTTCAATTTCGCAACCATGCATTTCGAGTTAAGTCCATTTTCGAAAACACGCATTTCGAGTTATGTCTATTTTCGTAACCATGCATTTCGAATTATGTTCATTTTTGAAAACACGCATTTCGAGTTATGTCCATTTTCGTAAACGTGCATTTCGAGCTGTATTCAGATTTACTAACTCACCGTGACGTAAGAATTTTTGTTAAACTGAATGAAAGGATGTAAAAAATAAATCTTAAATTTTGGTGTAAAATAACTTGAAGCATAATTACCGCATCAATAATATTTCTATATTTGAAATGCTCTTTAATCATTTCTCGAGTATTACATAAAATAACAGAGTGTATCATTTAATGTTTGTGTTATGACTATATGAAGCAATGTTGATAATAATTTTCTGAGAAATTAGTGCCAGTGGCAATAACTTTTATCTTAAATCTAAAATGATAATCAAAAGTATGATACTTCCCTCAAGTTAAACATTGTTTACAGAGTCTGTCAATTATAGAAACTTTTTATGTATTTAAAAATTAAAATAACTTTCTCCAATATATAAATAAATTGAAACTTTTTTTCCTTAGCTTCATGCAGCATTCGTCTATAAAACTAACCAATCTGTATCCACCTATTATCTTTTGCATCTTTTGAATTTTCATAAAAGAAGTGCGAAAAGGTGCTTGAAGATGCATGAAGAGTTCATATGATTAGGTGCATGAAGAATTCATATGTCTCAGTTTCAGATGAAACTGCCTCATTTTTATTGGGAATTGAAGCTCCATGCGATTGACGTATGGGTTTTTCAATGCCAAGGAGGGAATTAGATTTGTTAGCGAAAGTGTAAGAAGTGAGAAATGGATACCTAGTTTAATACTTAAGCGTTTTCTTTTCTTTTTCAGAAAAAAAGCAAATTAAGTTGGAATTTTATTTGTGTTTTCGCAATAAAATGAGAATTTTTTTCTCTCGTAAATATGCGGAATGGCTTAGCAGATTTTGATGAATTACTTTGCTCTAAAGATGCAGAATGGATTTTATTTTATTTTATAACCGTTGCTGAACGATAGTTCCAGTTTTGAGTTTAGGTATACCAGTCTTCAACTCCATTGCCTTGTAATTTTGAGGCCTATCCAGAAGACAAAAGAACTCTTGGATCAAGTATTGGGAGAAACTAAACTTCGTGGTGGACTTTTTGATGGAACTAACCCTTATTTGCTTTACATGGAGAGGAAAACCAGGAAAACCTCCCACTGTTAGCCTGATGGCAAGGCGAGATCCGGTGTTAAACGGATCCATGATCCGCTTAACTCAGAGTATATTTTACATCAGCAATGTGGTCGATGTGAGCTGGGAGCGGAATTAGTATAAACCAGCTATCGCCAGGATTCGAACCCCGATCATCTTATTGAGAGGCGAGAGTTTTAATCCCATAACCATCACGGTTAGCACAATGGACCATTGGTGACGATTAGGCAAACATCCTCGAGGATGATTCGAAGACATGCTATCACAATTTTGATCTTTATCATAGGGGATGACTTCCCCGCTTTGGTAGCCTAATGACCTACCTGTACGTGAAGTCGAGCCCTTTATGATAGAATAGTTTAATGAAACCGGATACAGCACACCCTCTCTCCCTTTTCAAGTTGATCAAAATGATTACCCACCCGCTGATTGTGATGCTTGACTTCGGCATTCTACTGGGCAGGAGGAGAGGAGATACCAAGAAGTGTGACATACGCATTTCGATCTCCGCAGATTAAATATTATTTTTTTTTAAATTTTCAATGGCAGGGAATACAAACAATAACACAGAGGAACAATAAAAATAGAAAATAACAAAAGACCGAAGTCATTTTCCCAAAAGCTCCCTCCCATGCCAATATCTTGCGGTCTCCGATTCAAGTCCGTGGAGCCTCCTACAGCCATGGAGGTGCTCTCTATTCATTGGTTTTCCAAAACCACACAGTTGACACTGAGGGTGATCATAAATACCTATACGATGTAGGTGTTCTCCTAGACAATCATGACCTGTTAGGAGTCTAAAGGTGGCTGCTGCATCTCGGCGAGGCTTATCTGGCACTGCCTTAATATCTGCCTCACTCCAGCTCTTATCCCTTATACTTTCTCGTAGGTCAACAGAGGCATTCAGTTATGGATTAAATATTATTACATAATCCTATTTTATAATTCTTTCTTCATATTTATTGGAATAAGTACTCACCTTCCCATTATTGTTGTTTGACTTAGAAAGTAGATTAAAATAGATATTTCGAAAGTTTAAAAGCAAAATTTAGAAAATGATCTGTAGGAGGAATTTTATTTCTAAACTGTTGGTATATTTTTATGTAGCGGGTCTTGTCATAAGGGGGATTGGGTGAGGTGAAACTTGACTCCTTGTGACTAAGATTAGGACAAGATCAAAACTATTGACAAAAAGTGTTTGTTATATAAAAATAATAAGAAAAGGATACTGTTTAATTTAAAGTATCATTAATTTAAAACATTATTTAAATCCCATTTTTTTTAAAAAATTTTGCTAAAATTTAAGAAGGTTCGTAAAATTTACAATAAATTATTTAAAAAAGAACGTTTAGTTCAAAACTGTCTATTTTCTATAAATTAGTAATCTCTATTTTTTTTTAATTCCTCACTAAGGCACTGAAGTAATTGAGGAGTATTTTCACTCCCTGGAGGAACTGTATTTGTGTTGAAACGCTTAAATTGCTGGAATTTTGATGAATTTTAACAAAAATAACACTAGTAGAGTTTGAGAAGGCACAGAAGTTGAATAAATTCGTTTAGTTAACGATTGTTACATTTATTAAATGTCGGTTTATAGTTTCTTTCTCTATGTACTAACATTTGAAAAAATTATGACTGCAAGAAAACATGCGCATATAAATGTATGAATGCCCGGACAAGGCTAAACTAAATCAGTACCTTAATTATTACGCCATAGATCTGTTCCAGAATCCTGAAATGAAAGCGTAGAGATGGGTTCGAATCCCATTATAAACTTAAAGTATTCAATTATTTATTTTCATTTATTGTTATACAGACTTGCAGACTTCTTCGCTCATTAAACGGTTCGGTGACCACTTTAATAATCCTTCGAAATACCAGAGTGTGTGTGTGGTTTCCGTCCTCGATATACTGTTTTAACATAAAGTGCTCGATTATAGTAAGTGTATAGTGCTATAGTAGTATAAGTGTTCGCAATCTAACACAAAGTGCAACCCTGGATGCAGCTATTTATGTATATTTATAATTTGTTACCAGGATTGCGTACTCATTACAAGGCTCGGCTTATGCCCTTGTCAAGTCTAGTCGGCTTATGTCTTGCCTGGATTGAGAAGGACGTCACAAACGACATTTACTGGGACACGAACCCTCTATCTCCACATTACATTAGATGCATGTTTGTAATGTCTTTCTCTAATTTGAGCAATCCATTCTTTAACTTGACTAGGGTTCATAATGTATGTGAAACAATACACAAATACAAATAAATAATTGGAATACTATTATTTATTTTTCTTTTATTTATCTATTTTTTTATTTTTATTCTTTTACAGCAGGTTGGTTCATCCGCCAAGCGCTGTTTGAAATAGAGGAAGTGGGTTCGAATCAAAGCTTAACCATGGATGCGTTAGTAAATATAATTTGTTTTAGATACATATACAGACTTGTGTGTTTAATGGCCTTTAAGCAGAACAGATAATAAAAAAATGAAGAAAAAAAACAGTACAATGATATTGAACCCATTATCTCAACCCCTCAGAGCATTTGGCAGAAAGACAACACCCCACAAAGAAGGCCCTGATAACATGCTTTTTATTTTTTTAATTTGCACCTTGCCCTTCAATATTGTTCTTCCGCTGACTGCTATGAAGTGTCGAACAGGCTTCAAATTCTGCTGTAACCTACTTTTTCTTGCTGCCATTCATTAATAGTTCTATTTGTTTCTCAAACTGAGAAGAGAGTTATTAAGCTGCTTCTTTGTAAATACAAATTTACGAAGACACCCATATAACCTTTCATACAAACCTTTAAATTTCAGAATAAAAATTTATTATTCCGCAAAAATTGCTAACTTATAGTTGATACCAATCGTGCTTAATGAATTGTAGTTTTATGTACAAATGGTAATGTGGAATTAGATATTTAATATACGGATATAGATGTTGCTGTAAAAAGATTTTCGCAGATCTCCGAAACAGGATAGTATCAATGAAAATTTGCATTTCTCTTTACACATTTATTTTATTCTAAATTAGTAAGTAAAATACGTTTAATATATTTTCCTTTTTGCCTTAAAAATACAACTTAAACATAAATTCGATAAAAAATAACAAATTTATGAAAACTGTAATGACTCTTAATAAAAGAAGTATTTTTAATCCGAGAAATTACACATAACATGAGTTTCAACAGTAATATTTCGTTTTATTTTTTAAAAAAAATAATGTTAATTCCCATTTTATATTTCGTCTTAATTGAACCTGTTTTATATTATGTAAATTCAGAACCAAGTAAAAAATTAAATGGAAAAAGGATGCAATATTATTATCAAATTAAAAATCAAATATTAACCGATAATTGTGCTTATAGTCGGGTTAACAATTTCTAGGACATTATATAAAATAAAAAAGATCATATTGTGATTGAATTCGTTACATTTTCTTATGTTTTGATAAGTATTTTTAAAGAGGCCATTTTTAAGATATCAAGAATGCCTGAAAACCAATTAAATGTTATTGTTTTTAATTCATTTGCTACTTTTTAAATAACTAGGAGATTCCATTTTTTCTAAAAAGTCTTTCTTATATCGTCGCTTTGAACTAAACCGTTGTATCTTAAAAAAGTCGAAAAATGAGATTTTGGGACATTTTGTTTAAAAAAAGTTACCTTTTTAGAAAAACAACCTGTTATCTTTATAGTTCCATAAAGTTAATTTAGAGAGCAGATAAATCGTCATCGCATTGCCGCGGTTAGCATTAGCGCGGAAAGTTTGAAATCGCTCTCCTGAAAAACTTGCTTTTTTGAATTACCACGGTTTAGTTTCAAAGCGACGATATATCCTAGTCATAATTTTATCCAAGAGCATTTCAAATCCTATTGAAATGAATGGTTTCGGAAAATAATCAACTGTACTTTACAAATATTTCAACATAGGAATGCAGAATCTTTCACAAAATAACTTAGTTTTAAAAAAATTATTAATGTCTATCATTTTAGCTCTAAAAACATAGGAGAATATGGAACTTAAACCTTTAAATTTTATATTTCTTTTAGGTAGAGATAAATTAGTTCTTAACAATCACAGATTTGCCATGGTGGAGTTTTTGAAACTGAGAATATGCTTTAAAACAGAAAAATAAAGTGTATTTAACGAGAATAAAAAAAAATTCATGCAAATAATTAAACACTCAGTAATGTAACACATTAAAATAGTGCGATAAATATTTCGTGCACTAAATTCTAGTGAAGGTAAGTGCACTAATGAAATAGACAAACTTACATTCTAGGAAAAATAATAAAAAAAGTAAAATGGGGCTCACCAATGAGCTCATCAGGAATTATTAAATCTCCTCAAAACACGTCAAAAAATTTGACATTTTGACAAATATGCTTTTTATATTATGTTAAAAATAACATTTTATTTATAACTTAATATACTTACTACGAGGCTATTGATTGATGTACCTGTTTAGAACGAAGTTTCTATTTTATTATTGTCAGTTGGGCTAGACTCCACGCATCCAGTATTCTTAGAAAAAAAGTTAAATATATAATACTTCTATTAGCAGATTTACAAAAAAATATGCGAATAAAATATCTAGATTGACGATACTTGGTGTTAAGAATCATGTTTAATATATAAATGAATCAAATCAATAGCACTAAGAAAATTGAAAAATGTTTTCCCTGTAAATAAAAGTGTCATTCTGTTTCTATCTTAAACTGAATAACTTTGTGATAATGATTAACATTTCCTTTTCAATCTAATGATAGTTTCGTCAAAATTTCAATAGCCAGTTTCATGTTTCTTTCCACCCATTCAGACCATTCAGGTGACTGAATAATTGTCATTTTGTTTGTTTTGATATAGTTCAATGCAAGCTGTTTTAAGGCTACTTGATTCACTAAATCAGCGACAGAAATCACTTCATAAATGTTTTCCGTCGATATTTTGGAAATCAATATTTTAGAACATCTTTCTTTCAAGCTATTCACTTGATATTTATCAGCCGCTAACAACAGATTCAAGACATGATCAAAATCAGTGTTAGAGAATATGTCAGTGTACAGATATTCAACAAAAGAGCGCAGAACTTCACTTTCTACATCAGGAATGTCAACAACGCCAGTTTGATTTTCCATCATATCTCGCTTAAACATGGCAGAGAAAACAGGAGATCGGGCTGACAATAAGCATTTATGGACTGGAATAATTTTATTTCCAGCATGCAAATTCAAATCAGTATGTCCTTTTTCCAAAAGCATCTTCCTTAAATCCTTCTGCAAAGGTAACTTAGGAATCTCCAACAGACCAAGTCCGACACATGCATCATTTTCGTAGGAATAATTTACAAATTTCGTTCTTGAAGTACCATCAGAAATAAAAATTGTACACACCAATTTAAATGAACACATGGAATATACATCACTTTTATCCTCTAGCTGGTTTTTTTCAAATGAAGTTTCAAACTCAGATGAGTTGAATATATGAGTAGAATTTTTTAAATCTATATCAATTCCTTCTTCTTTTAATATGAATATTTTGAGCTTCCAGAACTCCGCTAATGGTTGCTCCTTTGATTTTTTAAATTTTAAAAAAATTTTCCCCTCAGACGCAGTCAAAATTATGTTAATCGGATATTGTTCTTCGATTGGACATTTAACCTTTTTTACCCAGTCTTGCATTACAGGAACTGTTATCGTCCAGTTGAATGAATGTTTTTTCTTTTGTATTTTGGTTACAGCTTCACATATAACAGATTGTTGTTTGTAGTTTTCATCAAATAACTGACAACGGATCTCTAATATGTCAGTCTTCCAACTTTTCATATCATTTTCAAGTTGATCTACTTCCAGAAATTGAAACAAACCTCTCCCACGTTCATCTACGGACTTTCTTTCCATGGACGCCAATATTTTACCATTTGGATTGAGTATTTCTAAAGTACAGGATGTTGAAAAACCATATTCATTTTTCTCGCACTCCTTATTTCTGTATAGGAAGCATGAAATAAAACCAGCATTTTCTTTGTCAGCTCCTTTTGGGTACAGCCTTAAGTACCATTTGGTGTCCTGGAAATCTTCAGTACTAATCACTACACTTTTCAATCTCTCCGCATTTTTCAATTGACACAGCGAATAATTTACAATTTTCCAAGAAAACGTAAATACTTTTCCAGACAGAGTCGGCATTATGAAACGCTTCTAAAAATATGGTTGTTTGTAATGAGAGCAGAATCATTAAAAGAACATTCTTTGTTCGAACACTGTTGGAATGCTTTTTGTTCAGTGTTTTCAAAAGGTTTTGTTTCCTATTGCTGACGTCATTTTCGCTGATTAGTCAAATGTCATAAAAGTTTTATCATTTCTCTAATTTCCTTTTTTCATCGAATGCATTTGATAATAGTTGATAGTGTTGGATTAATTTTGTAGATGTTAATCATTCTGAGTTAATAAATACTAAAGAAGCGCTTAAATGTTTTGATTGCTGATTTTTTTGGTTTCAAAATATTGACTAAAAAGACTACATTTCCATCATTTAGATACAGTGATGCTTCAAATCAGAACATCTGTACAAAATTCTCATAATCGATTTCTATATTTTGTCCACATAATTTTTTTAAATCGTTTTCATTTTTAAGATTCTATTTAAATAGCAATTAACAGACACTATTATAAAAGTGATAAAGATGTGTCTCATTGAAATGTAGCAAACAGGCCGTCCCACCATCCTTAGACGGAAGCATGGAGGTAGCTGGTTGGAATACCGTTGCAAGCCTGTATGCATCAATTTTGATTTACTCATTTATTGTTACATGCACATCAGTCTTGTGGTCCCAAATTTTGACTCATAAGTACTTGATGAATTGAAAATCCTGATAGCACAAGATAAAGAAGAATATTGCAAAGATGCAAGTTTATGGTGGGGTTCGAACCCGCTACTTTGACACTACAATGATTGATTCTTTGTATCGTCCTTCTCTAACTTGTGCTATCAGTTCTTCTACTTAATAAGGACTCATAAATCATGTGTTGTAATGACCATGCAATCACCTATGTATTATAAGGAATAAATAAATAAATACTTGAAATAGTATTGCTTCCTCTCCTTATTGTTGTTGTTGTAGTTAATTTACGTCGCTCTAGAGCTGCACGATGGGCTATTGACGACGGTCTGGGAAACACCCCTGAGAATGATCCGAAGACGGGCCATCACTATTTTGATCCTCTGCAGAGGGATGGCACCCCCGCTTCGGTAGACCGACGACCTGCATGCGAAGTCAAGCACTTTACGGTTGTCCAGTTTAAGGAGGACCAATACCGCACACCCTCGGTCCCTACGCAGACTAATCCAAGTGGTGTCACCCACCCGCACACTGACCGTAGCCAGTGATGCTTGACTTCGGTGATCTGCTGAGAACCGTGTCTTAACGAACAGTCCACTGCGGGACTCCGCTTCTTATGATGCATTATAGAATGAAGGTAGAATTTTCGAATCCCTCTGCAAACCTGGGTGCATCGTTTTAATATCCATTACTAACTCGTACAATCTGTTTTACGATTTTACTAGGGCTTACTTTATGATGAACACACAAATTTGCATGCATCTAAGTAACATTAAATAAGCAAAATTGTTTAGAGCTAGTGTGTGCAGCTAGAGCTGCACAATTGGGCTATTGACGACGGTCTGGGAAACATCTCAGAGGATGATCCAAAGTCATACCATCGTAATTTTGATCCGCCGCAGAGGGGATGACTCCCCTGCTTTGGTGACCCGACGACCTGCGCTCGAAGTCGAGCACTTTACCCGATACCGTGCCTTCGGTCCCTACCCAGGCTGATCAATGTGGTCACCCACCCGCTCACTGACACCAGTGATGTTTGACTCCGGTGTTCTACTGGAAGTCGTGTCCTTACGATCAGTCCCCTCGGGGACTTGATATTGTTTTACGTACATGTACACTTGTTAGTGTGTACAATACAAAGAATTACTTGCAAACTTTTACAAAATTTCAGGACAGATATCATAAATTTGAAAAAGTTTGGCCATAGCTATTGCACCAGCTACTTCTATCCTTCAGAGCGTTTGGTGGAAGGACAATACCCTCGGTATACCCCACCAATAGTCTCATATTCTTGGTTCATGAAGTATTACTCTTCTGCTAAACGCTCTAAAGCATAAAGATAGCGAGATCGAATCCCGGTATAACGCTGGATTTATATTTATGCTCTCCTTCTCAAACTTGTTTTATCTGTTTTTAAAATTGATATCGATTCCATTCTTCATAAGCCTTTCTTTGTATATGTAAACAAACCTGCATATGTACTCGAATAGATATACAAATCTCAGTACCCTAAAAAAAGATGCATAAAACCGATCTATCTCACAAGACATTATAATTAAGCTCTTGAAAGCCTAATTTATATCCCTTTTCGCCCTCTCTCTCCAAGTTAGTATTAAAATTAATAATTAATCATCATCTAACTCATATTAAACATTTTAATAAATCGTCATTTTAAGGTAACCGTTGCACAGTAAACGGATTCTAATATCTGAAGCCATTCTATTTATTAAAAGGGATAGCTCGAATAGCACAGACACAAAGTTGAAGTATCAGGATCAAAATTTAATAAAAATGGATAGTCATCAAATTACCAAATAATGAATGGTTCTTTAAAGCAATCTCGTTATTTTATCGCGATTCTTTCAAATATGGCTTAAAAATAAGTTTTTCTGCTAAATTTACTCTTCGGTGTTTATTTTTATAATATGTGTGGGAATTAGAAACATAACGGATGATAATTATAAGTACGAATTGATTATGATTGGAAATATTTTGTGGTAGAAGGAACAAGAGAAATCTAGTTAGCGGTCAATAAAATATATCTGAAATCTTAATTTTAATGATAGTTGCCAGTTTATCTATTTATCTATATAGCTAGTTTATCTACGTGATATTGGCCTTCGTTAAACTGTTCTACCTTAAAGTGTTCGCCTTCATGCTCAAGTCATCGGACTACTCAACAGGTTGAAGCCCTTGCAGGGAATCGATCAAAATTTCAATGGCATATCTTCAGATCAACCTCAGGGATGTTTCCCAGACCGTCGCCAATATTTCGTTGAGCAGCTCTAGGATGGCGAAAATAAAATACTTACTGGTGTATCAACATTTTCGATAACGTTAAAGAGCAGTTTAAAAAAAATTAACAAAGGAAACTACTTATATAGTATTTACAAACGCTTTTGTTTTATTGAATATCTTGTCTAAGCAAAATTTGAGTATGTATAGACAAATAACCCTTATCGTAAATATTCTTTGCTTCATGCATTTTTTTATTAAGGAAATGTGAAGGGTGTTCCGCTGTGACTGCTCTTAATATGAATTCTTAGAATCCTTGACAAAAATGAATTCAAGAAAGTATACGCATTAAGGGTTTCAAATTAGTTTTTAAGTGTTGGGTTAGGCAGGTACTTTATATACTTCAAGCTGGAACTACACTATGGACTATTGACGGTGGTCTGCAAAACATCCCTGAGGATGATCCTGAGACATGCCATCACAATTTTTGGAGACAACTTCCTCAATTTACAAATAGATCTAAATTAGAATGAAATATTCTCCAGACTCTTGTACCTATGGTAGTGCTCAGTAACCGACTACAAGACTTTCGAATCAACAGATTTTACAAGAACGTGTGTTGCGTTTTCTAGGTGGGTCTTACCGGGGTCATGGATCGAACCCCGCCCCTCCGAACCGTAGTCCAATTCTCTAACCAGTGTGCTACCAAGGCCCATTTAAGTGTTGAAAAAACAAAAATGATACCGAAATCTGATAAATCACAGTCAAGGAAGGTCGATTCATTAAATATCAAAATTAGTTTAATTATCGGAGTCAACTGAAATATATTTGAACAACGATAATTTGATTATTAAAAAAATTTCAACTAAAAATCAAACTAATTTTAATAATCGATTCTGCCACCTTGTCAGATTTCAATTGAATTTTTAATCTCTTTCGTCTTATATTTGGACTTTTAACCCTCGCTGGGACTACATTTTGGTTTTCATTTTTAATTAACTATAATTAACATATTCCATTAACAAATAAAAAATACAAACATTTACAGCACTTTATTTCTACAGCATACACGAAAGAACTGTTCCATTCAAGTTTCCAAGATTGAAGTAACATAAAACTTAGTAACATAATTTACTTAACTTAGTACATAACTTAGTTTTACATAACTTAGTGGCATAATTTTGAGGTGATAAACAGAGATGGATAATGTGTTCTTTAATAAAGTTAAAAACTATTTCCTCTATTTTTTAAATTTCGTAATTTTTCTCATACTGTTTAAATAAATAGCATATAATTGATTGAGTGTTGCAATATGATAAACGCTAAATAAAACTGATTGTCTTATAAATCAAATTTTGACTCTTAACATTCAAATTAATAGAAGAAAAAGATAAAAATGCCTTTTGAGGAAGGCGAAATTATTCTTTAAGTTAAGAAGCAGTTTGCTTCAAAGTTACTGATATAATAAGGCATGCTATCTATTCAATTGACAACTTAGTCAAAATCTCGATAGCTAATTTTTTGTTTTTATCTACCAATTCTGTCCAATCAGGTAACGAAAGAATTAATTTTTTGTTTACCTTTATATAATCTAATGCGAAATATTTTAAGTCTTTCTGGTGAATCATTTCAGCCACAGAAATCACTTCACAAGCGTTATGCGGAGACAGCTTAGACATTAACAGCTTTGAGCATTCATCTTTTAAAATATTCACCTCATATTTATCAGCCACTAATATCAGCTTCAAGGTCTGATCATAATCAGTAATATTGATTGTATCAGTGTACAGAAATTCCATAAGGGCTCGCAGAGTTTCATTATCTACATCAAAAATGTCAACAATGCCAGTCTGATTTTCAACCATGTCATGATCGAACATGGCGGAAAACACAGAAGATCTAGCAGACAGCAAACATTTGTGGACTTGCATAATCTCATTGTTTGATCGTAATTTCACATCAGAATGTTTTTTGTCTTCATACATGCACTTAAGATCATCACACAGAGTGCGCCTCTGGATCAGAAACTGTTGTAATTCCTCACCAGAGATATTTTCCAGGAAAGAACTGTTACATACCATTTCCTTATATTCAGCAGGTGCATAAATAGTGCATGCTAATGTAAATGAACAAGAGTAAAGAGACCCTGTTACATATTCAAGTTGGTTTTTCTCAAATGAAATTTCAAATTCTGATGGTTGGAATTCATAAATAGAGTTTTGCAAACAGAGATAAGTTCCTCTTTTGTTTAATACAGATATTTTCAGTTTGTGTAGTCTAGGTAGTGGTTGTTCCTCAGGTATCCTAATGTGTACGCAAATCTTTTTATCAGGTGCAGTGAAAGTGATATCAAACGAGTACGCTTCTTGGAAAGAGCAGTTTATTTTTTTCGACCAGTCCTTGTATGGAGGGACTGTAACGTTCCAGTCAAATGCATACTTTTGCACTTGGATTTCTGTTCGTGTTTCGTAAAAAAATGGTAATTGATTATGAGTTTCATCGAATACGTGGCAGCAGATTTCTAGCGTACCCGTCTTCCACTTTTCCATGTGATATTTTAATTCTTCAATTTTCATCAAGGAATATGGTCCTTGCCAAGAGTTTGTAACGAAGTAACTTTGGGGAATATACTTTTGTTTCAGGATCTTGCCATTTGGATCAATCATTTCTAACATATAAGATATTCTAATGTTATCTTTGCAGTCATCAAATTCATTTCTGAGAGAAAGTGAAATAAAATCTGAGAGGTTCGGAAACAAATAAAAGAACCATTTCGCATTTTTAAAATTGTTGGTATGAATTATAGGACTTTGTAAATAGGCTCCATTACTCCATTGAACACAATAAGAAATTTATGATTTTCCAGCAGAACGTAAACACTTTTCCAGACATGCTTGACGTAACTATTCTGTTCTTTTACGAAGAATTGGCACTACGCTAGATTTGGGAGAAGGATGTGAACAATCCCGAGAAAGGTTGCTAGTTGGCGACCGTATCATAAAAATATCAATATTAAATATTTAATAAACTTGATTATAAGGCTAGTTTTTCGCATTTTATTTTTTGAGTGCAGGTATGTTTTAAGCTTATTATTTGAAGTATTTCCAGTAATAATTACGATATTGCAACAACGTCAATATGCATAATGGTTCTTTTCATCTGACCATAAGCGCCTGCTATCATGGAATTTCTTTCCAATTTTTTTTAACAAATTTACTCACTATAAATCATTACAATCGATATAAAGTATCCATCGTTCTACTGCATTCTACTTTAAATTTTCTATATTAAAAATTTCTATTTATTCTATTATTTTAGTTATATTTAGCCTTTTTTGCATTCTATACAACTGTTTTTTCTACATATTATTAGGTAGAGAAAAGATAATCAGAAAATCAGAGTCCCGCAGTGGACTGATCGTTAAGACACGGTTCCCAGCAGATCAAGTCAAGCATCACCGGCTGCAGTCAGTGTGCGGGTGGGTGACCACTTAGATCAGTCTGCGTAGGGACCAAGGGTGTGCGGTATTGGTCCTCGTTAAACTGTTCTACTACAAAGTGCTCGACTTCGCGTGAAGGTCGTCGGGCTACCGAAGCAGGGGAGCCATCCCCTCTGCAGAGGATCAAAATTGTGATGGCATGTCTTCGGATCATCCTCAGGGATGTTTCCCAGACCGTCGGCAATAGCCCCTTGCGCAGCTCTAGTGCGACGGAAATTAACTACAACAACAACAGAAAATCAGAATTAAAATTTAAAGTTGTAATTTTAATTATTTCCCACAGAGTGTTGCTTGTTAATTGATTTCAGTTTAATTTGTTTTGATTTGATGTTTTCCATTTCCTTCATACTTTTTTTCTCTTTAAAAGAATTTTACGAAAGCTGTTTAGGAAGTATTCGTTAGTATATTATCTCTCAAAAAAGACAGGAATAGAGGCATCGTTAGTGGGAGATATTGCGCCAGATATCTAATAGAGTTTCTCTAGATTTATTACAAAAAATTTAATTTCTTATATTACATTGTTAGTCATTTTTCGATACTTAGTTTAACTCAACACATTTGCTTTCTATTTCCTTTTTCGAAAATTAAGTATTTTCACTAAAAATGGCAAAGTTTCAAATAGAACTTGAGTATAATGAATAACTTTTCTGACAAAAAATATTTTGAATTTAAAAAAAAAAATACCAGGTCCTCCTTAATGTCTATTCTTAATATGTAGTTTACGAATATTATAACATAGAAAAAATGGAATTTCCATGTTAGGTTGGGAGAAAATGAGCTAGATATATTTCAGAACTTCTCTATATTTATCACAAGAAATTAATATATGTTATTGCATAAACTTCTTTCGATATTTAGTTTAACGCTATACAGTTGCTTTCTTTTTATATTTCCTGTTTTAAAAATTTAGCATTATCACTTAAAATGGCGAAGTTTAAGATTGAACTTGTGCAAATATCCTTTGAAATTCAAGAAAAGTAGAAAGTTTTCCGTAATGCCTATCCTTAATATATATTTTCAGAATATTATAACTTAGAAATAAAAACATCGTTATACAAGATTGGGAGAAATATCACGAACCTCTCTAGATATATTACGAAAAGAAAATATTTTATAATATTATAAGATTAATCTTTTTTTCGATAGTTAGTATAATGTTGTAAATTTGGCTGCTCTTAATATTTCTTTTTTAAGACTTAGTATAATCATTTAATCTGGCGAAATTTAAAAATAAACCTGAATGTAATAATAAATTATCTTTCTGGATAATTCTTTTAAATTTCTAGGAGAATACAGGGCTTCCTGTACTATTTACCCTTAATATGTGGTTTCAGAACCTTTGTCAAAAATGAAGTGTGTAGTAACTAAAAACGTCAAAATTTGTTTGATTGTTGGAAGAAACAGAAGGCTTTATATTATTAAAAATACATCAATATTTAAACAGGTACTTAATAGGCCAAAGTTTTTTCTGGCTACCAAAATGGTTACTATGGTTTTTACATCGCTTTCTCATTAATTCTCACACATTATTAAAGTGCAATTGTGATGACCGGCCTGTGTAGGGGGCTGATTTGATTTGCTCATTTACGTCACACTAGAGCTGCACAATGGGCTATTGGCGACGGTCTGGGAAACATCCCTGAGGATGATCCGAAGACATGCCATCACAATTTTGATCCTCAATAGAGGGGATGGCACCCCCGCTTCGGTAGCCCGACGACCTGCACGCGAAGTCGAGCACTTTACGGTAGAACAGTTTAACGATGACCGATACCGCGCACCCTTGGTCCCTACGCAGACTGATCCAAGCTGTCACCCACCCGCACACTGACCGCAGCCAGTGATGCTTNAAAAAAAATACCAGGTCCTCCTTAATGTCTATTCTTAATATGTAGTTTACGAATATTATAACATAGAAAAAATGGAATTTCCATGTTAGGTTGGGAGAAAATGAGCTAGATATATTTCAGAACTTCTCTATATTTATCACAAGAAATTAATATATGTTATTGCATAAACTTCTTTCGATATTTAGTTTAACGCTATACAGTTGCTTTCTTTTTATATTTCCTGTTTTAAAAATTTAGCATCATCACTTAAAATGGCGAAGTTTAAGATTGAACTTGTGCATAAATCCTTTGAAATTCAAGAAAAGTGGAAAGTTTTCCGTAATGCCTATCCTTAATATATATTTTCAGATTATTATAACTTAGAAATAAAAACATCGTTATATAAGATTGGGAGAAATATCACGAACCTCTCTAGATATATTACGAAAAGAAAATATTTTATAATATTATAAGATTAATCTTTTTTTCGATAGTTAGTATAATGTTGTAAATTTGTCTGCTCTTAATATTTCTTTTTTAAGACTTAGTATAATCATTTAATCTGGCAAAATTTAAAAATAAACCTGAATGTAATAATAAATTATCTTTCTGGATAATTCTTTTGAATTTATAGGAGAATACAGGGCTTCCTGTACTATATACCCTTAATATGTGGTTTCAGAACCTTTGTCAAAAATGAAGTGTGTAGTAACTAAAAACGTCAAAATTTGTTTGATTGTTGGAAAAAACAGAGGGCTATATATTATTAAAAATACATCAATAATTAAACAGGTACTAAATAGGTCAAAGTTTTATCTGGCTACCAAGATGGTTACTATGGTTTTTACATTGCTTTATCACTAATTCTCGCACATTACTATAGTGCAATTGTGCTGACCGGCCTGTGTAGGGGACAGGGGACTGTCCTTGCATCAGAAAGGTTCTGGGTTCGAATCCCGGGCAAGGCATGGACGTCCTTCTCTGTACTATCTGTCCTCACTGTGGGAGCTGTGTTGGCCCGCCTAATATGGTGTCCCTGAAAGAGAGGTCAACAAAATCGCCCTGTATTTGCCTAAATTGACGGATGTTAACACAGATGGGCATTAGAAAAAAAAGCTAAAGTGCAATTGTTTCTTCCTTTATTAAATATCCATTTTCTATCCTTAACGCTGTTTCTCAAAGGCTCCATCATAATGTGAAAAAAGGCCTTATTTGCGAAGAATATGTCATTTCTATAATTATGTGAGTTTGAAGCTGTTACTCATGTCTGTTAGGTCAATTTTAGCCTATCTAAACCCAGCGCTGCATAAGCTTATTTTGAAAATGGCGCAAAACGTCAATATGAAAAAAAAGCCACAGTATTGTGAAAATAAAAAGCGTTTGTGATCTGATTTTTTTGATATTTAAAAACTCACACTAATGCTGCATTACCTAGGTTCACTAAAATTAGCAAAAACTATGTGAGAGCGATTTTCAAAAACAACAACATTCAAAATATTTCAGTTATTCGTCTGTTCTAAAGCCCAGATAATTCTTCACGGCAAAATAATCCGCAGATAGTTTAATAGTATTTAATAGTATAGGTAATAGTATAGTTCATAGTATTGTTTTAAGTGCAAGGCACTTAAATAATGGCTTTCTTTTTCCTTGGCGGCAAAGCTTCGAAAACCACGTGCATACTTAGACTAGTGGTCGAGTTAATTTAAAAACTTCGGCACAGCTCTCATTTTGATACTACGAATTCATGTTTAATATATGCTGCTAATTAGTGTAAGCATTCGTATCTGAGAAAATTAAATAAGGAGGATTAGAAGTCTATTAAGCATTTTGAAAGCCTCTGCACATATTCATAGCGACAGTGACGAACTTTTGCCCCCCCCCTCCCAACAGCACTATAATTGAAACAAAACGCAAATTCCCTTAAATCTGTTCATTTAAAAATTAGTAACTAATTGCAATCAATAACTGTATTCACTGATACAACAATGGAGCTCAACGAATATTTTTGGAAGGCGAGTCATCTCGTCCATCGCTCTGAAAGAATAAATTTCAGTTGCGTAAATAGATGCCACTAAAGCAATGCTTGATTTTCAAAATTTTATTTTCTAATACGAAGATATTTTTCCCTCTGGGTCACCGGGGTGACAAAGCGGTTGACAGTGCTTACTAATCGATTAAAAAATTACCTTGCATAATTATTTTGCTTTAAATATTTTATAGTGACGTAAGTTTAATTGACATAATTTTACCTGAAAGTAAATAAATTCCAAGTATAATTGATTCATTTTTATGCTACTTATTAATCGTAAAACTATTTAATTAGCAGAAAAATAACAAT